CTGAGATTCTAAAGTTCTGAAATTCTGAATTTCTGAGATTCTGAGATTCTAAGATTCTGAAATTCTGAATTTCTGAGATTCTGAGATTCTAAGATTCTGAAATTCTCATATTCTGAAATTCTGAAATTCTGAGATTCTGAGATTCTAAGATTCTGAAATTCTGAATTTCTGAGATTCTGAGATTCTAAGATTCTGAAATTCTCAGATTCTGAAATTCTAAAATTCTGAAATTCTGAGATTCTGAAATTCTGAGATTCTGAAATTCTGAGATTCTGACATTCTGAGATTCTAAAATTCTGAAATTCTGAGATTCTGAGATTCTAAGATTTTGAAATTCTGAATTTCTGAGATTCTGAGATTCTAAGATTCTGAAATTCTCAGATTCTGAAATTCTAAAATTCTGAAATTCTGAGATTCTGAAATTCTCAGATTCTGAAATTTGTGAGTCAGTTTTTTTTTCCAGAAAGGGTGCCTGAAGTTAGTACAATCGTCCCAGAGAATCCCAATAATCTTGCTGAGCTACTCAAAAAGTCTATTGATTTCAACTAATTTTTTCGTTCTAAATATTCTTTTTGTTTGTATTTTTGCTGTCAAATAAACTATTTTTTCTGTTTTTTCATTCAATTTCTCTTATTTTCCATCTATAAATCACTTATCAGCAACAAAAAACTCAAAAAACCTTGCAAAAATTAAAATACACCATTCTCGTGTCCTAACTTCTCACTTATTCTAACGCTAACGCGCTCCACTGCACTACCTCCTCCTCCCCGTGTACTCCTCTCGGACAACTGCAGAACATTTTCTCAATAAAAGTCTTTAATTTTCTCCGTTTTTCTTGGTTTTTTTCGGGTTTTTTTTGTTGAAAAATCAAATTTTAAGCATGAAATTTTAATTCAAAAGGAAAATGGCCGCGGTGGAGACATCGAACGACACAGTAATGGACCTGGCGAGGCGGTGGTTGGATATTGAAGAAAAGTGAGGGCCTTGGAGCATTTTCGCATGCTTTTGAAGGTTTCTGGACCTGAAAAACGCGATTTTTGGGGTCTGAAAGCCCTAAAAATGTTTAAAACGCTGAAAAATCGACATTTTTCAATTTTTAGAACGCCAATCGCCACCGCAGACTGCCTAATGGACCGCCCGTGTCATCTCAAACATGTCTGCTGGAAATTCAGCGATTCGATGAATGTGAGGATTCGATAATTCTGAAAAATTTTGAAAAAAAATTTTTTTTTCGATTTTTTTCAAAAAATCCTAAAATTCACCGATTTTTTCCGGTGAAAAACGATTTTTCCTAATTTTTAACTCAAAAATTCAAATTTGCCGCTAAAAATAACCCAAAAATCGGATTTCCAGGAAATTTGGGTCGATGGAGTGCTCGGCGTGTCGTTTGCCGCAAATCAGACGTCAGAGACGGGCGAAACGACCACAAAGTGAGTTTTTTGGGGGTTTGGGACCTGAAAATTTGGATTTTCCACAAAATTTTGGTCTAGAAGGTGGATTTTATGCTGAAAATTTAAAAAAATCTGAAATTTCAAAAATGTTCAAAAAAATTTTTTTCCGATTTTTTTTTCATTTTTAAGCGATTGTTAGGTTTTAAGATCTAAAAATTCGAATTTTTCACAAAATTTGACCCTAAAAATCACATTTTCAGAGTCCACTACACGGTCGGAGCACAAAATCCGGAGCCAGCCGAGAAGAAGACCGTATACTACAGTATCGAATTGCCAGAATTGGCCAGGTGGCATTTGGCGTGGTTAACTGATTCCAATGTGTCGATAGACTCGGCGACAATCGATATGGTAGGAAAATAGGCTGAAAATAGGCTAAAAATCATGAAAAATGGCTGAAAATGACCCAGAAATCATGGAAAAACACCGGAAACGCGCCAAGGCACCGAAAAGCGCGTTAAGTCACATAAAATGCGTCAATATGCCTAAAATCCGCCAAAGTACGAAAAATGCGTAAAGACACGGAAAATGCGTCAAGGAACGAAAAATGCGCCAAAGCGCCAAAAACACGTCAAGACACTAAAAATGCGACAACGAACCTAAAATGCGTCAAGGCACGGAAAACGTGCCAAAGAACTCAAAAAGCGTCAAGGCACTAAAAATGAGCCAAGACACTGAAAATGCGCCAAAGCACTTTAAAAGCGTCAGAGCACCTAAAAAGCGCAAACACACTAACTTGACGGCGCCTTGACCCATTCTTAGCGCATATTTCGTGCTCTCACGCATTTTTAGTGTCTTGGCGTCTTTTCGGTGTCTTGACGCATTTTTCGTGCGTTAAAAAGATTCGAAAAATGGGTTAGGCGGGAAATTCAAATTTCAAAAATTTCAAAAAATGGGTTAGAATGACTCAAAAAACGTCAAATTTCGAAAAATTCAAGAAATTGTGGGCGTGGCCAGAGGGGGCGGAGCCTGTGAGTTGTCAATGGCAAAGATTGTGCAGACGACGGATGAGGGACGGGTGATGACACGCATTCTGGTCGTGGGGTTGGTCATTGCGATGAGATACTCCATGACGCCGCTGGAAATGATGGGATTACTGTAGTTTTGGCTGAAAATTTGGATTTTTGACTGAAAAAATGGTCGAAATCGGCGGAAAATTGGCTTAAAATGGGTCCAACATGGCTTAAAATGGGTTTAAAGTGGTCAAAAATGGGTTCAAAATGGCTCAAAAATGGCTCAAAATGGCTCAAAATGGGGCTGAAAATGGCGATTTTCAGCTGTATTTTGAGCCAAAAATGATTAATTTTTTATGATTTTAGGGTCAAAATTGACCATTTTTGGCATTTTTCGACTCACAAAATCGGATTTCCGGCCAAAAAATTGCCTAAAAATCCCATTTTTTTTCCAGGAATTCGATCAGAAATACCTGGTGGAAAAGCGAAAATTCAAATGCAAGCAGGTCAATATTACCGTAACCGCCAACTATCCGACGGCGCACGGATGGCTGTTGCATATGGATCGAACAGTGGAATCGTTGATTTATCGAGGAAATGGAATTATGGACGCCAATAAGTTCTTGCAACTGCCTTTTGTGAGTTTTTTGGGCTCAAAAATCATGAAAAATGGTCTGAAATCTGTAAAAAATGGTCCAAAATGGCATTTTTCATGGATTTTGGACCATTTTTCATGGATTCGGACCATTTTTCATAGATTTTGGACCATTTTTCATGGATTTTGGACCATTTTTCATGGATTTTGGACCATTCTTCATGGATTTTGGACCATTTTTCATGAATTTTGGACCATTTTTCATAGATTTTGGACCATTTTTCATGAATTTTGGACCATTTTTCATGGATTTTGGACCATTTTTCATTAATTTTGGACCATTTTTCATAGATTTTGGACCATTTTTCATGGATTTTGGACCATTTTTCACGGATTTTGGACCATTTTTCATGAATTTTGGACCATTTTTCATGGATTTTGGACCATTTTTCATGGATTTTGGACCATTTTTCTTGGATTTTGAGCCATTTTTCATGGATTTTGAGCCATTTTTCATGGATTTTGAGCCATTTTTCTCCAATTTTATCAATTTCCAACATTCCAGGCCTCCCGACTTCATAAATTGATGATTCTGTACGAGAGCACTTTCGATGATCGCCTTCTGGTTCAATTAAACGCCCAACACCTGCAATTATCGTCCGATTTCGTCACGGACGTTGGAATTAACAAATTGTTGCATGTGAGAGGGGTTTTTTGACTGAAAATGGTCAATTATGGCTGAAAACAATGCTGAAAATCGCATTTTTTGAATCTTATAGTGCTGAAAATAGTCAAAATTGACACTTAAAATGCTAAAAATGATCTCAATTTTGACCCTAAATATGCTAGAAATCCATGTTTTTGGCTGAAAACAATGCTGAAAATCGAATTTTTCGACTCTGAAAATGTGAAAAATGATGATTTTTGGTCTGAAAATGACGATTTTTGACCCCAAAAAATGCTAAAAATGGCCAATTTTGACGCTAAAACGCCATTTTTGGCTGAAAATGACGCTGAAAATCTAATTTTTGACTCCAAAAATGTCAGAAAACGAACAATTTTGACCGTAAAAATGATAAAAATGGTCATTTTTAAGTCTGAAAATGCCAAAAATTCATATTTTTGGCTGAAAAAAACGCTGGAAATCGAATTTTTCGAAACTAAAAATGTCGAAAATGGTGATTTTTGACCAAAAAATACCTATATTTGATTGAAAATGAGCTATTCCAGCCTGAAATTGACCATTTTTGGCTGAAAATAATACTGAAAATCCAATTTTTGACCTGGAAAGTGCCGAAAATGGTCGTTTTTTACTCAAAAATTGCTAGAAATCCATGTTTTTGGTTGGAAATAATGCTGAAAATCGAATTTTTAGACTCTAAAATTGCCAAAAATGATGATTTTTGGTCTGAAAATGACGATTTTTGACTTTAAAAATGCCGAAAATGATTAATTTTGATCCTAAAATGTCGATATTTGACCACTTTAGGTGAAAAAAAGCGATTTTCAGCCAATTTTAAGCAATTTTCAGCCAAAAAATCTGAAATTTTGCAGCGCTGGAACGATTTGAACTATCCGATTCGATCGGAATTCATCATTTATGTACAAATTGAGAATACGGCGGATGTGGTGAAGAAGCTGAATGTGATTGGGACCAAAGATCGAGATTCGTGAGTTTTTTTTTTGGCTGAAAATCGCTGAAAATTGAGGTTTTTAACTATTTCGGACCCATTTTGAGCCATTTTTAGCGATTTTGAGCCATTTTGGACCCATTTTGAGCCACTTTGAGCTATGTTGGACCCATTTTGGACCCATTTTGAGCCATTTTGGACCCATTTTGAGCCATTTTGGACCCATTTTGAGCCATTTCGGACCCATTTTGGACCCATTTTGAGCCATTTTGGACCCATTTTGAGCCATTTTGGACCCATTTTGGACCCATTTTGAGCCATTTTGGACCCATTTTGAGCCATTTCGGACCCATTTTGGACCCATTTTGAGCCATTTTGGACCCATTTTGAGCCATTTTGGACCCATTTTGGACCCATTTTGAGCCATTTTGGAGCCATTTTGGACTCATTTTGAGCCATTTTGGACCCATTTTGAGCCATTTTGGACCCATTTTGAGCCATTTTGGACCCATTTTGAGCCATTTTGGACCCATTTTGAGCCACTTTGAGCCATTTTGAGCCATTTTGGACCCATTTTGAGCCACTTTGAGCCATTTTGGACCCATTTTGGACCCATTTTGAGCCATTTTGAGCCATTTTGGACCCATTTTGAGCCACTTTGAGCCATTTTGGACCCATTTTGGACCCATTTTGAGCCATTTTGAGCCATTTTGGACCCATTTTGAGCCACTTTGAGCCATTTTGGACCCATTTTGGACCCGTTTTTAGTCATTTTTCAGTCCAAAATCCAAATTTTCAGCCAAAACTACAGTAATCCCATCATTTCCAGCGGCGTCATGGAGTATCTCATCGCAATGACCAACCCCACGACCAGAATGCGTGTCATCACCCGTCCCTCATCCGTCGTCTGCACAATCTTTGCCATTGACAACTCACAAGCTCCGCCCCCTCTGGCCACGCCCACAATTTCTTAGATTTCTTGAAATTTGACGTTTTTTGAGCCATTTTGAGCCATTTTACGCCGAAATTGAGCTATTTTTGTATTTTTGAAATTTGAAAATTTGAATTTCCCGCCTAACCCATTTTCACAAAAAATCTCACTTTCCCTGATATTTGATCTCACTTTTTTGATGTATTTATTGATTTTTTCCACCCCAATTTTTTTGCTAAAATTTGCACTTTTTGGACCCCCAAAATCTCACAAAATTTGCATTTTCCTTCAAATTTCACTTTTTGCCCCGCCCACTTTTCACACTCTCTCGGTTGTTTTGAATTCTGTATTTTTCCATGTAAAAAATTCGAAATTCCATCAATTTTGGTGTCAAAAACCCCCCATTATTTTCTTATTTAGCCCTTTTTTGAGCGGAAAATGAACTTTTTCCCGGCTGTAAACTTGAATTTTTCACCTAAAAACACGTCAAGGCACTGAAAATGCGTCAAGACACCGAAAGTACGCCAATAAACGAAAAATCCGTCAAGAAGCTAGAATTGCGTCAAGACACGAAAAATGCGCCAAGGTCCCGAAAAATGCGTCAAGTCACCAGAATTGCGCTAAAACACCTAACAAGCGCAAAGGATTAGAAACGCGCCAAGGTACCAAGAATGAGCCGATGCGCGAAAAATGCGCCAAGGAACTAAAAATTCGTCAAAACGCCGAAAATGCGTCAAGGCACGGAAAATGCGCCGAGGCCCAAAAAATGCGTCAAAGCACCAAAAATGCGTCAAGGCACCGAAAATGCGTCAAGGCACGGAAAATGCGCCAAGGCACCGAAAATGCGTAAAGACACCAAAAATGCGTCACGGCACCGAACATACGCCAAGGTACTTAAAATGTGTCAATGCACCAAAATATTGACGCATTTCTGACGCATTTTCAGTGTTTTGGCGCATTTTTGGTGCCTTGGCGCACTTTCGGTGTCTTGACGCATTTTTTGTGTCTTGGCGCATTTCTCCATGCCCTCCTTTCGGCGGTTTTTAATGGCTTAAATAATGACCTGTTTTAGCGCTCAAGAAACACCTTTGGAATCTTCCTTGACGCATTTCTTGTTCCTTGGCGTATTTTTCGCGCATTTGCGCAATTTCGGTGCCTTGACGCGTTTCTCGATACCCTCATTTCAATGACTTTTTTCGATGACTTTGTCATGGTCTAGGGCTCAGACACACCTTTGGGATCTTTCTTGACGCTTTTTCAGAGCCTTGGCGCATTTTTGGTCCCTTGACGCATTTTTCGTGTCTTGACGCATTTTCAGTCCCTTGAAGTATTTTCAGTGCCTTGACCCATTTTCGGTGCGTTGACGTATTTCTCGATCAACAAGAATTCGGAGGTTTTACCTCCGAACTCTTCAGATTTTCTCTCATCTGTTCCTTTTTTTTTGGTTTTTTTTGTCCTTCCGCTTCCTATTACTCTCATTCTCCGCCATATGATCTTCCAGGGGGACCCGACGGGGTCCCCCCTCCTGGATAATCTATTACACTATTTCTCTTCCTCTTTTCTTTTGATTTTTCGAAACAACAGGTGTTCGTGAGGGGTTGGATAGGAAGAAGAAGAAGGAGCTCATTTCACATTTTATCTTCTTCTTCTTCTTTCTCTGTTTCTCTGCGTCTCTCACTCTCTCTCGCTTTCTTTGAAATTTCGAAAATTTCTGACATAAATATGACGATAAAGCCCCTAAATACTCCTTGGATCATTAATTTTTAAGCTTTTTTCTTCTGATGCTGTAGTTTGAGCTCTATTATCTCAGTTCCTATGAAGGATGGCAAAAAGTGATTAACTGATAAAATGTTTATCACATTATCAGCAATATTTTATCAGTTGACAAAATTTTGATATCTTTTAAAGGAACCGAGATAAACTGACTCAAAGTTTACAGTGTGGTATCCCTTCTATTGAAGGTGGTTACGTTATCTTTGAGTTTATATATCTCAATTACTGTGAAAGATATCAAAAAGTAGTCAACTGATAAAATGTTTATCATAAAATTAGTAACATTTTATCAATTGACAGATTTTTGATATCTTTTAAAGGAATCAAGATAAATTGGCTTAAAGTTAGCAGTGTGAGATACATTCTATTGAAGATGCTTATGTCATCTTTAAATTGAAATATCTCGATTCTTATGATAGATATCGAAAATTAGTCAACTAATAAAATTTTGATGATAACATGAAAAACATTTTATTAGTTGACCAATTTTTGATATCATTCATGGGAGCCGAGATAATCGAGCTCAAAGTTAGGTCAGTTTTTGAAAAAAATTCCGATTTTTTGAAAAAATTTTTTTTTCGAAATTTCCAAAAAAGTCCCGCATTTCCAGGTCCGCATCATGCCGACCTCTACTACCGTATTAATACCGTACCTATTGCTCACCTACACAGTAACCCTAGCTTTTTGCCTTCACCTCCTCCAACAATGCTCCTCGAGCCCATCCATAACCTTCCGTGGAGCCAATGACGTCACGAGAGCCGGCGGACCGGCTCTCATCGTATTTGCTCCGCTCCAATGTGCTAATTGCTATAATTACTTGAGGAGGTAATTATAAAATTTGCAAATTCAGGAAATTCCAGCAAAATCGGTTGAAAATGGTGGAAAATGGCCTAAAAAGTGGGATTTTCGAGATTTTTTTGAGGTTTTTCGGGTTACTGTAGTTTTTAAAAAACGCTAACAGACTCAGATATCACTATCAAGACGAGATCAAAGTTGTATTATCAAATTATCAAAAAAAAAAGTTCTGAAAATTGGGAAATTTTCAGACTCAACGATTTGGCTGGAACCAGAAGCTACCGTATCTCAGTGGTGGCACCGGATTTCGAATCTAATCATATAATTCAGAGGACCAGCACAGCGGTGAATTTGGGGAAATTTTTTGTTTTTTTTTTGAAATTTCGAATTCCCGCCAATTCTGCCAATTTGCAGTTCCCAAATCTTCAAATCGATCGAGCCGGCGAGGGATGGCCTCGGCTGGGCGCCAAGAATTTCGATGCGATTGTTTTGGATTCGTGAGTTCTTTTTTTTTGCGCCAAGACACTGAAAATGCGTCAAAGCACCGAAAGTGCGTCAAGGCACCGAAAATGCGCAATAGCATCGAAAAATGCGTCAATGGCACCGAAAAAGAGTCAAAGCACTAAAGGTGCGTCAAGGAACCGAAAATGCACCGAGGCCCAAAAAATGCGTCAAAGCACCGAAGATGCGTCAAAGCACCGAAAGTGCGTCAAGGCACCGAAAATGCGCAATAGCATCGAAAAATGCGTCAATGGCACCGAAAAAGAGTCAAAGCACTAAAGGTGCGTCAAGGAACCGAAAATGCGCCGAGGCCCAAAAATGCGTCAAAGCACCGAAGATGCGTCAAAGCACCGAAAGTGCGTCAAGACACCGAAAATGTGCAATAGCATCGAAAAATGCGTCAATGGCACCGAAAAAGAGTCAAAGCACTGAAAACAAAACATAAAAAATGGAAAAAGTCTCCAAGAATGCGTCAATGTCCAAAAACGCGTCAAGGCAACCAAATTATTTATGTCAAGGCACGAAAAATGCGCCAAGACATGGAAAGTGCGTCAAGGCATCCAAAAAGGCGTCAATGAGCCGAAAATGCAGGACACCAAAAAGACGCCAAGATCACTGATGTTTCGTCAAGACACCGAAAGTGCGCCAAGGCACCAAAAAGGCGTCAATGCACTATAAATGCGTCAACACACTAGAATAGCGCCAAGACACCAGAAATACGTTAAGTCACCGTAAATGCGCCAAGGCATGGAAACTGCGCTAATGCACTAAGAATGCGTCAAAGCACCGAAAACGCGTCAAAGCACCGAAAATGTGCAGTAGCATCAAAAAATGCGTCAAGACACGCAAAATGCGTTTTTGCGCTTTTTCAGTGCCTTGTCTTTTTCATGCATTTTCTGTGCCTTCACGCGATCCCTGTTCCTTGACGCTTTTTCGGTGCCATTGACGCATTTTCTGATTCCTTGACTCATTTCTTGTTCCTTGGCGTATTTTTCGCGCATTGCCGCAATTTCGGTGCCTTGACGCATTTCTCGATCCCCTTCATTTTTCAGATGCTCTCGTGTCACTGAAACCTTTGAATGGCCTCAATCCGACGTCACGACGTCTACCACTATCCAGACTGCTCTTCAAGCCACGTCATTTAAATGCGGCGGCGGCTCGGCGGGAATTCAAAAATGCCAAAATTCGAACAACTCGAAAAAACGGGTCAATGCGTGGATTAAGGAGCAAGAGCAGCAGGAGCAGATGAGGAGAGCTCAGAATTCGCCACGTCATCAGAATTCTCAGAATTCTCAAAACCCCCAAAATTCTCAAAACCGTCATTTCCAAAATCACCAAAATGGCCAAAATCAAAATTTCCAAACTTCCCAAAATCGTCATCAGAATCCCCCACATCATCTGAATTCCCAGCAGAACACCTACAGTAACCATAATTCGTATAACAATGGATATCAGAGCCTCTATACGCCACCACCACCGCCACCACCGCCACAAGTCGTCCCAACAGAGAAATTGACCACTACTAGTAGGTTTTTTTGGGATTTTCAGCTATTTTAAGCTATTTCTGGTCCATTTTAAGCTAATTTTAAGACATTTTCATTATTTTCGGCTCAAAAATCGTGAAAATTAACCTAAAATAATTGAAAATGGCCCAAAAATCATGAAAATCGGTCGAAAATTGCACTTTTAGAGTCAAAAATGGTGTCTGTCTGTGTGTCCGGGTGTCCAGATTTTAGGGTTTTTGGACTATTTTGGGTCATTTTTCATGATTTTCCAGCTATTTTAAATTATTTTTCTGAATTTTCAGCGCCCGACGCATCTGGACCCGATTATGACTACTATCCAGAAGGGGATACCACGCTCTTGGCAACCACTCAATCTACACAGGTGGGGCTGGGCTCAATTATCTTGGTTACTGTAGGAGATATCAAAACGTGATCAACTGACAAAATGTTTACCATAATATCAGAAACCTTTTATCAGTTGACAAGTTTTTGATATCTGTTATGGGAAGTGAGATAAATTGTCTGAAAGGAAACAGTGTGAGATCGTTTCTTTTGAATGTGCCTACGTTATATTTGAACTAAAATATCTCGGTTACTGTGGGAGATATCAAAAAGCGGTCAATTAATAAAATGTTTATCATAATATCAGCTACATTTTATCAGTTGACAAAATTTTTATATCTTTTATAGGAGCCGAGATAATTGAGCTCAAAATGTTGTTAGTCAAAAAAATTTTTTTCGTTCTCTAAGTTTTTTTTCTGGCTCATATCATTTTTGGCACATTTGTAAATGTATCTATTCTATTGTCTTCTGTGCACAGACAATAAGTATATGTATTTTATGTATATATTGATTGTGTTATCAATAGGTGATAAGACCGTTTGTGCAGAAAATGGAAAAATGATGTCATTTGGACTAAAAAAAGGAATTTGAAGGCAAAAATCTGGAAAAATGAGTTCTTAAATCGAAATTCAGATTCTAGAAAACCCTTAAAAACTGGCTGAAATCTATCAATTTGGACCCAAAATTACAAAATTTGAGTTTAAACATTTTGAAAAAAAATTTTTTTTGAAATTTTTCAAAAAATCTAATTTTCGACTATTTTTCCCCCATTTTTTGGGGATTTTGGGGTTTTCAGACATGTAAAATTTGGATTTCTTAGTTACAAACATCCCATTTTGACATTTCGGTTCCTTTTTGAAAGTTGCCCTTCTGCTCATTGGTCAATAGCCACCCCCTTGACAATTTCAATGGGACCTTTAGTTTTTGAGATATACACCAAGGAATGGGTGATATGGTGCATCAAATCTCTCCAAAATGAGGAGAGCCTATCTTTTAACCATTTTTAGACCATTTTGGACCAAACTTTCTCAAAATTTCAAAATGACATCTAGTGTAAAATTTTATGTTCTACGACTTTCTAGTTTACCATTTTTTGCTGGGAACTCTAGGTTTTGAGATAAACCCCAAGGAATAGGTGATATGGTGCATCGGCTCTCCCTAAAATGACTTTTGATCGATTTTAGACACATTTCAGGGAATCATGGGGATCAAAAATTCAATTTTTCAGTAATTTTCCAACGTTTAACCAGGATTTTGACAGTTCAAACAGTTTAAAACACAATTTTCGACGCTAGAAACTCCAAAAATGAGATTTCCTAGCATTTTCCAGAAAAGTGCTCAAATGGCTCAGTGGGATTTTTCATGTGTTTTTCTACCAATTTCACGACCCGGGTTCAATCCTCACAGAGGCTTATCTTTTTTTGCTTTTTTCGCTGAGCATGCAAATGGAATTCCTGAGCTCAAAAAGTCAAAATTGAGGTTTTTTGAGATTTTTGGCGCCAAAAAGGGGGATTTTTAATTTTCCATCTTTTTGGTCCAAGTTTTTTAGAGTTCTGAAAATTGATTCTAGTGTAAAATGTTATGCTCTACATTTTTTTAGTTGACTATTTGTTGCTGGGACTTTTAGTTTTTGAGATATAACCCTATTATTTTGATCCCCACCCCTTGATTTTTTTTTCCAAAAAATTGTTAAAATCTTTTTTCCCTCTCCCCCAGGTCACCAACAAAAACTCCTCTTCCTACCTTCATACTCATTCGTGTGCTCAATTGAGCAAACAGTTTCTTTCTCTAACCTCACTCTCCCTCTCACACACTCTCTCGCCGTCTCTAGTCAAACTTACTGTCATTTCTGTCGGAGCTCACGGAGCACCATCACAAACAAATAATATCTATACTGTCATTTGAATTAGAAAAAGAAAGAGAGAGAGAGAGAGAGAGAGAGAGAGAGAGAGAGAGAGAGAGAGAGAGAATGTCAATATTTCCAATCACAGAGCCGCCGAGCAAAGAAGGGGATTTGGGGAGCGAGGGAGTGTTAGAAAGTGAGATAAGTTAAAGAAAGCGAGAGAGTGTAGAAAGTGAAGAGACGGTAGAGAAAATGATATATTTGCACTAAAAGTGCAAGCTAACACACTTGACGGAATACGGTTTCTTTTAGGTTTTGCAGAAATGGGAAAGTGTACTTTTGGACTTTGACCCTCTTGGGAAATTGGGAGAATTGGGAATTTGAGGAAATTCAGAAATTCAGTAATTCAGAAATTCAGAAATTCAGAAATTCAGAAATTCAGAAATTCAGAAATTCAGAAATTCAGAAATTCAGAAATTCAGAAATTCAGAAATTCAAAAATTCAGAAATTCAGAAATTCAGAAATTCAGAAATTCAGAAATTCAGAAATTCAGAAATTCAGAAATTCAGAAATTCAGAAATTCAGAAATTCAGAAATTCAGAAATTCAGAAATTCAGAAATTCAGAAATTCAGAAATTCAGAAATTCAGAAATTCAGAAATTCAGAAATTCAGAAATTCAGAAATTCAGAAATTCAGAAATTCAGAAATTCAGAAATTCAGAAATTCAGAAATTCAGAAATTCAGAAATTCAGAAATTCAGAGATTCAGAAATTCAGAAATTCAGAAATTCAGAAATTCAGAAATTCAGAAATTCAGAAATTCAGAAATTCAGAAATTCAGAAATTCAGAAATTCAGAAATTCAGAAATTCAGAAATTCAGAAATTCAGAAATTCAGAAATTCAGAAATTCAGGAATTCAGAAATTCAGAA